TTACAACCGCGGCCGGGATGCGGGGATGCGGGCGACGCTGGGAGCCGTGCGCGGGCGAGTCCGCCAGGTGAGGATGCGCGGTGGGAGGGCGGACTTTGGCATAGACTTGCGGTGGGGTCCTGGATAACTGGGAGAAGAACGTCTGGGAACTGGGAACAGGCAGCGGGCACAGGTGGATCGTGGGCCCGAAGAAGGAGGGGATTGGCTGTGCCCACCTTATCTGCTCCTCCGTTTAGGCGGGCCAGGGCTTGCTGTATTCCCTGGAAGCCACCCTGGAGGAGCCGGCTTGCCAAGACCCCATGGTGTGCCAGCTCCCTGTACCCAAGAAAACCTTGGTGAGTGATTTCCAACCCCCGTCCTGCCCACCCCAGGCCCAAACAGTTGGGATTTAGGCCGGGTCACAAGGCAAGGATCTGAGGGAGCAGCAACCTGACCCTGAGTTACTTCTGAGGCCTCTAAGGCCAGAGATCAAGAGGCGTTGGGGTGCTGGCTGTGCCGCACTCTCCACTGTGGGGCCATTGCTTTGGGGGTGGATGGCTTCTGAGGAGCCTCTAGATCCTTTTGCCCTTGTTCCCAGCCCAGCGCCCACACTGGCTTATTCTTTTCTCTAGCTCTGCAGCTTTGAAGTCCTGGAGGAGCTGGGAAAACACATGCTTTTGAGGCGGGACTGTGGCCCAGTGGATACCAACGTTACAGGTTCTGGGATAGCCCGAGGAGGCTGGGATAATTTAGATCAGTGATGGGGAACCTTTGTTTGTTTTTGTTTTGTTTTGAGATAGGGCCTTGCTATGTAGTTCAGGCTGGCCTTGAACACTATGTATCCCACGCTGGCTTCAAACTTGAGGCACTCCTTCTGCCTCAGCCTCCCAAGTGCTGGGGTTATAGTGTGTACCCACCATGCCCAGCTATAATGGTGAACCTTTTAGCGCTTTCAGTGATAACAAATAGCCCTCTGTGGCACATGTGCCATAGGTTCGCCACCACTAGCCTAGATCATACTTCACTTCAGCCTTAATTTTCTCCTTGTTACAACCCTATCCAGACCTCAGAAATGAAGCTTTGAGTTCAGTCCTTCCACTGTCAAGCAAGAATGCCCTTCCTGAGGTGAGGAGCCCGTAACTGGGGAGCTAGCCGTCGCCTCTTCCGCCGTCTTCTTTCTTCACCCTGGAGGAGGAGTGTTGTGTCAGGCCAAACTCCTTATAAAGACCCTCCTGCCCTTCCAGGAGTTTTCTGTGAAGATGGCTTCAATCTTCAAGAACTTTGTTGCCATTTATAACCGAACTTATGAGTCAAAGGAAGGTGAGGACTCAGCTCTGGCTATACCTGTCTCAGTCAGATTCGGGTCTTACCCCAACTTGGGAGGGGTAGGATACAAGAGGCAATACATCCTTTCCCAGTGTCCAAGTTCTTTTCCAGCCCTCTGGGACTGGGAAGCCATCCCAATTATCTGTCTGCTTCTGTCTTCCTGATCAGAACGGTGGGTCTCTATCCTTCTAGGGAGGGTAGGATGGGACAGAGACTAGATTTTTCTCTGGGGAAGCCCCCCACCCCCACTCCACACCATAGCCTCTCCTATGTCCTCTCCTGGGGATGCCGCTTAGAACCCATTGCAGTTACTGTTTTCACAACTGGGAAACATTGCTCCATTTTGTCCCTAAAAGTTGATCACAGTTCCTACTCCAGTACCTGCAGGTATGCCCCTGCAATCTCACCTGTCCCAGGGTCTGTCCTTACAAAGAGCTTCAGGCCAAACCTAGAATCTACCTAGTCTCCTGGGAAAAACCCCTGCCTCTTAGCCCCACTCACCACTGGCCTTATGATCTGTCTGGGGTCTGAGCTCCTCCTCTTCTGCTCTTTGGTCCTCAGAAGCCCAGTGGCGCCTGTCTGTCTTTACCAGAAACATGGTGCTAGCACAGAGGATCCAGGCCCTGGACCGTGGCACAGCTCAGTATGGGGTCACCAAGTTCAGTGACCTCACAGGTAGGGTTGGAGTCTGCGAGAGAGAAGGTCTGTTCCCAAGGTCCCTGGTCAGGGCTGACTTACAGCATGCGTCTCTCTATCCTCTGCCCCTAGAGGAAGAGTTCCGCACCATCTACCTGAATCCCCTCCTACCAGAGGAGCCTGCCAAGAAGATGCGCCTCGCCAAGGCTGTGGGTGACCCTGCCCCACTTGAATGGGACTGGAGGAAGAAGGGGGCTGTCACCGATGTCAAGAACCAGGTTGGAGCCCTAGCAGTGAGGGCGGGCATGCATGCTGCGCTGGGGCTGGAGAAGGGGTCCTGCCTGAAGCTGTCCGTCTCTTACAGGGAATGTGTGGGTCCTGCTGGGCTTTCTCTGTCACAGGCAACGTGGAGGGCCAGTGGTTCCTGAACCGGGGCACGCTGCTGTCCCTCTCGGAGCAAGGTAAGCATCCTGCTCCATCTTCCCTGTCCGGAGTCCAGCCCCTTCCAGAAGGTTCCACAGGACCTGCTTTCTGTCTCCTAGAGCTCTTGGACTGTGACAAGGTGGACAAGGCCTGCATGGGTGGCTTGCCCTCCAATGCCTACTCGGCCATCAAAAGTTTGGGTAGGTATTAATGGGGTCAGGAGGGGCATCAGGTATCTCTTGTCCCTCTGTAAGAAGCCAGTTTACAAGGGGGAGAGACAGGGGCATGGAAGTCACACAGAACTTTAACTTTGCCTTTTTAAACTGGGTTTAAGTCTTACTGCTGACCTCCTGGGTGTGGTGGTGCACACCTGTTTTCACATCTCTCTGGGAGGCTGAGGCAGGAGGATGGCAAGGTTGAGACCAGCCTGAGCAATGTAGTGACTTAGACCCTGTCTTATTAAAAAGGTGGAGGAGGATATAAGTACAAAGGGATTGGGTTTAACCCCCAATACCACGAAAAAGAAAAGAAAAAAGTCTTAATGCTGACCCTTATTGGCTGAAGACCTTGAGAAAGTCAGTTCTGTCAGAGCTGCAGTTGCCACATCTGTGAAATGGGACTCACTGTGCCCATCTCAGAATTGCCTTAAATATCAAGTGAGAAAATATATGTAAGACCACGTCCATAACAGGGACTAGTATGCAAGCAGTAGCAACACACCACACCCCTGAGAAGATGTGTGACCCCAAATTGGTAGTTCAGTTCATTGGTGGGCTGCAGTGGCGGGAGAAAGGGCTGCACAGAGACTGGCCCAGGAGCCTGGCAGGATCTGGGCTAGATTAGAGGGGTCAACACAACAAGCATGCCAAAGTCCACAGTTCGGGAAGGCTGGGATGAACCCTCAGCATGGTCAAAGGCTGGGAGTTAAGTCCTGTCACTGCCACTGTTTCTGCTGGTCACTGGCTGCTCCCTTCCCTCACCTCCCTCAGTTCCCACTGTGTCTTCTCTGGAATCCAGAGGTTCTTCATCAGGGAGGGGCTGTGGCCTGGGGGGGAGGATGGAGAATGTCAGATCTTACATATAAAGATGAATAGGAGTCCACTCTTCCTCTGCCCCCTACAACCCACCTGCATTGTTCCCTAGGAGGACTGGAGACAGAGGATGACTACAGCTACCAGGGCCACATGGAAGCCTGCAACTTCTCAGCGAAGAAAGCCAAGGTCTACATCAATGACTCAGTGGAGCTGAGCAAGAATGAACAGAGTGAGTGAGGGGTGGGAAGAGGCCCGGCTGGGTGAAGCTGGCCCGGGTGCCTACTGATGCGGCTCCTCCCCACCTCAGAGTTGGCGGCATGGCTGGCTGTGAAGGGTCCCATCTCTGTTGCCATCAATGCCTTCGGCATGCAGGTGAGGTTCTGGCCTTGTTACTTTGCTCCATCTCTTACCCATCTTTCCCTCACTACTTCTTGGAGCTGGCTCTCTATTCCTTATTCTCCCCCTAGTTCTACCGCCATGGGATCGCCCACCCACTTCGACCCCTCTGCAGCCCTTGGTTCATCGACCATGCTATGCTGATTGTGGGCTATGGCAACCGTGAGTTCTGCTTACAGTCTGTCCATCTATCCTATCCACAGGCAGGGGATGAACAGCAGCATCTCAGGACCTCTGAGGGGAAGATCAAGGAACACCTAGGAAGCCTCAGCCTCAGGGAGTCACGTATCCCTTCTATGGCTGGGAAAGACTAGATTAAGGGAATTGGATCAGTTGTACTACAGGTAGTGGTAGGTGCCCTCCCCATGCCTCAGAGCTGCTCCAGGCCTCTGTGAGGGTAGTAGGCAGCCCTCTTGCTTCCTGATTTCCTAGTACCTGTCTCGCAGTAGGCCCACTGCAGGTATGTGAAGGGTGCAAAGCACTTGAGGCTCTGGCTAGTGAATTGGGGGTCCCTGACCCCTTATCCTTTACACTGCTCTCCAGGCTCTGATGTTCCTTTCTGGGCCATCAAGAACAGCTGGGGCACTGACTGGGGTGAGGAGGTAAGTTTTGCCCACCTGGTATCTGGTCCTCCACCCTCCACCTTGCCTGAGCCTTTCACCAATTCTCCCTCCCTCAGGGTTACTACTATCTGCATCGTGGATCCAGAGCCTGTGGTGTGAACGTAATGGCCAGCTCTGCGGTGGTAGACTGAGGAGCCAGGGCACAGGACCTGGTGCTGACCAGAGAAGCTCCTTTCCCAGCCTGACCCCATGTCTAGGTTCTCCCCAGGAGGCGCAGCTGACTGACCAAGGGCTGGGTGCTGGGAATCTTAGGGTGAGCAGGAGGCACTGGACCCTACTTTTGTCTAATCTGATCCCGCTGGAAGCGCCCCAGCTGCACCTTTGTTGTATTGTGGTGTGGTAGCTAGAACCCTGGGGTGAAGAATGTTTGCAGCGCAGCCAAAGCAGAAGCAGGAACCCTGGGCTTGGGTAAGGAGTAGAATGAAAGTATTTCCATCTTAAACCCAGCTCTGTCTTCAGCAGGCTCTGCCTTCCTGTCCAGACTTTCCTATGATGCTATAAATGTTCTGGTCCCCCTGAATTCGGGGACATTGTCTGGGAAAACTGTAGCCACCTTTCCCTAACAGCAATAAAGAGGTGATCTGAGGTTCCAGTACAGTGTGAGTGCTCAGGGATGGGTGGTGGTGAGTCAGAGTGAGATAGCTGGTTCTGCCCAGGAGTCTGAGGGCCCAGCTTCTACTTTAGGAACCACCAGGAGATGGGAGGAGGCCCATGGATGGATCTTTATTCAGGAACACTTGGCTGGCCAATCCCTGAGGCCCTTGCCCTGGGGAGTAGATAGGATCAGCTACAAGGAGCATCCTGTCTCTGTCTTCATCCAGAACTGCAGGATCAGAGGTTAGAGGTCGCTCTCCCCATAGAGGGCATTGGAAAAGGCCACGTAGTCCAAGGCTCCAGCCAGAGCCCCAGAGCCTTTGTATGGTGCCATCCGGCGGATGCAATATTCAGCCTGCTCAGCCGGGAGCTCCCGCCTCAGCTCCTCAGAAGTGATGTAATTCTAGGGGAGAGGAGGTGTTGAGGTTCACTGTTCCATGCTCTGCCACATGCCACCAGTACCCCCACTGTCCAGGGCTTACCTTGTCGCCTGCTAGGATCTTGAAAGAGGCTATGACTTGCTCAGCTGTGTCTGTCTCAGCTGTCTCTCGGGTCATGAAGTCAATGAAGGCCTGGAAGGTCACCACCCCAGTGGCATTGGGGTCCACCATGGTCATTATGCGAGCAAACTCTACCTCTCCCTGCAGTAATAAAGGCCAGGAGTCATGCCCATGGGTGCTAAAACCAAGAAGGCTCCCAGAGTCCTCTCCTGAGGACTGTATAGCATTGGCTTCACAAACCCAGGGACAGGATGCTCCCTTTCTCCAAAGATCTCAGTCAACCTGGCTTTAGAAGTCTTTTGTGCTAGACTGAAAGTTGCTTTGTGCCCATGGCAACACTGCATTTTTGCTCATTGGTCCTGATTTTTTTCCTGGGGCCATATCCCTCTGTTGTGCTGTTTCTCTAAGGTAAAAACAGTGTGGCCTCAGACCTTGGGGTCACCCAGAACAAGGTCCAAATTAATTTACCTTTGAGCCTTTGCCAGTCCCCATGAGATGTGATGAGTAGAGACAATGACACATATGAAGGGAGGAGGCACACAGAAGGTGGTCACTATGGAGGAGAAGGCACCAATGGCACTCCTGGGAAAGGGGTTGTGGGTGCTCACCAGGTCATAACCCATGGAGATGAGGCAGGCTCGGAAGTCATCGGGCTCCATCATTCCATTCCGCTTCTGCACAGTGTGGGTGGATGTCAGGATTGGTTCCTAAACCCCACTGTCCCCCTAGTATCTTACCCCGCAGGGCCCCTGCTGACCCGGTCAAAGTGGTTGAAGGATGCCCGGAACTCATTGAGCTGCTCCTGGCTTAGGCCCTTGGCATCTCGGGTCAGTACCTGGTTCTCCACCTCATTGATGGTGCGGGCAATGGAGGTGAGCAGCTGCTCCCAGCCCACACGGATGTGCTAGAGAGTGGGAGATGGGCCATTCAGTGGGTGGTGAGTGCCTGGCCACTATTCTAGCTCCACTCAACCCTCTGTGACCCCTGGCAAGTCCTTACCCTCACTGTCCTCTGTCCCCATCACCAAGTAACCCCTCTAGCATCCCTTCATGCTTTAAAGTTTGATGACTTATTATGTTTTTGTTTTTGGTTTTTTGGGGTTTTTTGTTTTGTTTTGTTTTTTAAGACAGGGTCTCACTATGTAGTTGAGACTGACCTGGAACTATGTAGCTCAGGCTGGTCTAGAACTCACAGTGATCCTCCTGCCTCAGCCTCCCAAGTGCTGGGATTACAGGTGTGTGCCACCACACCCGGCCTGATGACTTATTATGTATTCAGTATTGATTGGCAAGCTATGGCCAGTCATAATCCAGCTTTAATCTGCTTTGTGACTGAACTGGTCACTGTCCATTGCTGGGTCATCCCCATGGGATATGCTGCCAAGCTGAACTGGAGAAATCCTTCTGGAACAGACGTTCTCCAAGTAACTAGGGTCATGCCAGCCTTCCCCAGCCTGTGCAGCCTTCCTCTCTCTGCAGGGCCCACCTCCATACTGTAGACAGTGTGCTTGTTGTCGAAGACCAGACTCTCCTGAAGCAGCTGGTGGTCACTTTCCAGCCGGTCGATGTTGCTCTTATAATTAATAATGTTCTGCTCCTGTTGCCGCAGCCCTGCCATCTGCTCCTCCAGAGAGCCAGCCAGCCCTGCTGCCAGCCGCCCCACCTCCTGCAGGGGTACCCAAGCAGAATGAGGAGGGCTCCCAGATCCCTGGGGGCACGCCTTGATCCCAACCCCAAATTGCCCTCACTCTCCAAGCCCTTACCTCCACCTTTGCCTGGATCCAAGGTCCCACAGCATTGGCCTGGGCAGCAAACTGTCGCCGGAGCCTCTCATTCACCTGTTGCCGTGACAGCTCATCCTGCAGTGTCTGGTCACGGCTGGGCACCAACTTTCGGACCTGGGAAGGAGCATGTTTAGAACCAGTTCTAGGGGCCAGGAGATAGCTTTAAGGAGAGATGGACCCTAGCCCCCCGAAACCTCAGCCCCTGTTGCTGTGAGCCGAATTGGGCCATATGCGCAAGCTCTGAGGCACATCACTTAACTTCTGCAGGCTGTTTCTTTATGTGCAAAATGGGTCCATAACATCATTTGTAACTCATATAGGTGGTTTTATGAAAAACAGCTACACAACATTTAATTCTGCATATCAGTCCTGATGGGAGATGCTGTTGTTACTGCCGCTGTAAAGATGAGGCTGTGACAAGCAAGGTGGTTTATCCAATGTCACCTGGAAGCAGTGGCAGACCCCAGATCTAGAGGTAGACTCTATTCCCCATATCTTGGGACATCTGAGGCTTCAGGGTGTTTAAGAGTATGCATGAGGGGCTCAGGGAACAGGGCAGGGCTGCTGGTGGTACTGACCATGTCCCACTTGGTGTTGATGTCCTGTGGGCTAAGGGTGATGTAGGGGTTGGTGGACCAAGGCTGCAACCCGTACGTTTGGCAGATCTTCTGGATCTCACCCTGAATACCCAGGATGGCACCTCGCTCTCGGTCAGCCTCAGGCAGTGTTGCCTTGAACTGGTCATGCGCTGTCAGCAGGCTCTGGAGGTGACAAAAAGGAAGGATCATCCTGCATCTCCCACAGAACAAGAGTGGCAATGCCTACTACGCCTGGTCCAAGAACACAGGCCACCTGCCTCCCAGCCCAGCACTATGGAAATGGGTTTTTCCACTGTCATTCCACAGAAGCCCAAAGGATCAGAGGCCAGCTTTTCTTCTTTCACCTCTGTTGGGAATTGCTTAAATTTGTTTTGTTGTTGTTGTTGTTGTTGTTGTTGTTGTTGTTGTTGTTTTTGGTGAGGAGGGTTGAACTCGGGTCCTTGTGTTTACGAGGCAGGCGGTGGAACCACTGAGCTAAATCCGCAGCCCTCTGTTGGGAACTGAACACATGGCCTTTGCAGTGAGCTATATCCCCAGTCCTTTTTTATTTTTATTTTTTTGAGACAGAGTCTCACTACATAGTCAAGACCTTAAATTCACTATATAGTCCAGGCTGGCCTCGAACTCACAGTGATCCTCGTGCCATGGTCTCCTGAGTGTCTTTTATTCCCCCCTAGACAGAGACTAAGTGGCCCAGGCTGGGCTTAAACTTGTGATCCTCCCACCTCAGCCTCCCAAGAGTGCTGGGATTCATTATAGGCAGTGGCCACCATGCCAGGCTTTGGAGCCAGTCTTCTGTCATCCAATCCAGTGTCCTCCAGGACTGTGCCCAAATGCCTGTACCCACCTGGGTCTCCTCCACCGAGTGCACCAGCCACACATCCTGCAGGTCCTCCACTGCTCCATCCAGCCAGTTATTGAAGGGTGCTGCTCGCCGTGCAAACTCCAGCTGTAGCTGATCAATGGTTTCCAGAAGCTTCTCCATCCGCTAGGCATAGATAGGACAGCGGGTCAGCAGCTCCCCAGCAGGCATGGCCTCACTGCCTGGCCCCCAGCTACCTGGCCCCAGACTCCACCTCTAGCGCATCCCGCCTCTTCTGGGTCAGTGTGCCCAAGTTGTCCCATTGGTCACAGATAGCCTGGCAGCGGCTGTTCACCGAGGCCACTTCATGGTAGTCCAGCTCACTGGGGGTGAGAAGGGGCCTGAGTGTTGGGCCAGACCTGTGTCTCAGCTGCCCTCCTGGGGCTTAAATCAGTGCCCATGGCACTGGTGAAGGCATAAGTGACAGAGGGCAGGTGAAGGATAGAGCAGAGCTTCTGCAGCGGGGTCCCAGGCAAGCATCCCATGTTCTTAGCTCTAGTACTTGGAGGTGTTTGGCTGGAGGGGGGACCTGGGGTATCAGCTGGGACTATTTGAGAATGAGATGGATTTGCAGGAGGCGGTGGCAAAGCCAAGCTTGAGGATGAGGTTTAGAGAGGTAGGCTGGGGTCCAGGGTAAAAGGAGCAGCCAGGCTGGGGGACAGGCTATGGGGTAGGACAGATGTAGCACCAGTGGGGCAAAGAGCGTGGGCAGCAGAGCAGGTAAGGAGATGGAGCTGGGGTTCCAGAAGGGGAGGATCAAACGATGCAAGGACTTGGGTACCACTGCAGGGTAAGAAACCCCGGACAATCTGGGGTCTTGAGGAAGGCATGGGAGCGGGGGAGCAAGGCGGGGCTTGGCGTGGAGGAGCAGGGTCAGTCAGGGTCGTAGTCTCTAGGGCGGGTCTGCCGCGCCTACTTGAGCTCCTGAGCTAGCGCAGCGATGTGCTCCACACGGTCCTGGTGCGCGGCCAGGTCGCTCTCAAAGGCTTCATGGCGCCGCAGCAGCGCCCGCACATTGTGTAGCGAAGAGGACTCGAAGTCGCGCTGGTTTAGCATCTCCTCCTTCCCTGCTCAGAGAGAGAGGTCCGGCTCCTGTCACCCAATGGCAGCCGCAGCAGGAGCAGGGGTTTCTGGCTGGGCTGCAAAGTCAGGTGATGACAACTGCCCAGCCAACCCCAGAGGTTTCTTCCGAGACACCTGCATAAGTGAAGTTCCTGGTCCTCAGCACGGCCCGTAAATAAAGCTGCCCCTTGGTTCCATTTTGAAATTCATTTGGATGCTAGCTACCCACCTCTCAATGATTCTGTGAGCCCCGTTTCTTTATCCACAGCTTGGCACAGTTATGCGCCCGTGGTAGCCTTTGATGAACAGGGTATTG